GCCAGGAGTGACCAGGAATAACGGTCACAAGCTGGCAGAGGGAAGGTTTAGGTTAGACATCAGGAGGTGCTACTTCACTGTCAGGGCGGCTAGGGTCTGGAACCAACTTCCAAGAGAGGTGGTGCAGGCTCCTACCCTGGGGGGTTTTAAGATGAGGTTAGATGAACACCTTGCCGGGGTCGTTTGACCTCAGTACTCTTTCCTGCCATGGCAGGGGGTCAGACTAGATGATCTGCTAAGGTCCCTTCTGACCCTAGAAACTATGAAACTATCTATAATGTTTAAGGTCAGGTATTACTGGAAGTTCTGAGGATTTTACTTTTGGTCCTTAAGTCAGATTTTAAAGGCTCGGCTGCTGGAGTCTTGGGGCAGTGGCTGTCCAAGCGTGTTATGGCAGTGGTACCCAGATGCAGGCTGAGCTCTCTGGGGCCTGTACAAACACCTTTTCCTGAACTGAGGAGTTTCTGATCTCATGTCAAGCAGGGCAGCTGCTGCTGTGGCTGATCACATGCCAGCATGTGTGCTATTGTTGTTCAGCGTGTAGAGCTCCTTGCTGGGTGTCTTCCACAAAACTACGTTTGTAGCAACTGCAAGTAGCAAGCAAGGAGGTGCTGAGGCAACAAGCACCTTTGTCAGAAGGTTCAGTAAGGACAGCAGTGCCAAAATCGGGCATCAGGGGTGGCATGCTGCTTGAAAGGAAATGAACCAGTGTGTGGCGAAGCAGTGGGCTTATTCCATGAGACAGCAACATTGGAGCATGTTTGAAAGAGCTCCCGTCCCCCATCCCCACCCCAAAATACACACTCAGCTCAGAGGACAGTGGGAAGCAAGACAGCCCCTCTACCACTCTGTGCACATTGCTGCAGGGTGCTCAGTTAATGGCAGGGGCCTGAGTTTGGATCTGTCACCACCCACAGCAATACTTAGCTCTGTGAACATGAGTACACGAATGGTGCCCCACTTACTAGGAATCCTGGGCTGTCTGTGTATGCTCCATCTGGATGCTGTATAAACATACTGGATAAGAGCTTGGAAGAGGCAGTGACAAAGGTAAAAAACTTTATTA